ATACCGACAACCGGCCCCTTGATTCACGATATTTAAAAAAAAAAAAAAAAAAAAGAGGAAGAAACAGGGTATGTTTTGAGACGTTCATAAAAAGACACTGCAAATAATTACGAATACAGTACAGATGCTATATTCATTAAGGTCATATGAGTTCACACACAGTGTCTCAGTTGGGATTCAAACTAACATAATTGTAGCACACGGTGGCCAGACACACTTGTAATTTGGCTTAAGTTGTTGAATAGCTAGGATTTTCACTCTTAGAAAAGCGCTGGTTTTAATTATGTTAACACTATGCATTTCTGCTTGACTTGCTGTTTGGTTCTAATCCAAACATAACCTAATTTCCCATACAGCTGGGTAGTATATTTGGTCAGGGAGCCCTCAAGCAAGAAATCCCACTGAACACAATCAGAGGAGACAGGCAGCGTTCTTCTGTGATGAACATCAGTACATCAACTCACGGCTGATCAGCACATTTCAAGAGGCTCAGGGAGAGTCATGGGTTTAAAATACGAGCTTGACACTCCTGTTCTCATTTATCAAGAGTGGGTGTGATTTTCAGTCAGTTTGGTGATTTCTTATACATTAGTCAAGTGTCTGTCACATGCATCCTCCTAAAATAAACCATTGAAGTTGCAATGTGAAGACATTAAGTAACTACCTTTGGCTTTATTGCACATGGTGTTCTCTCAATGCCACCTGCTCATGTTAAAGGACACTTGGACAACCTTAACACTCCAACGTCATGTAACGAAGAGACTGGATTACAGTCCTATGGAAGTGTCCAACTGACACCAATTCAGCGCAACATTGCTATTATAGCAGAAATAGAGAACAATTCTTTGCCAGCTGCTTCACTAAGGACTGTTAATAGAGGATTTGTTGGCATGTAGTGTGAGCGAGTCTTTTATTAATTCTGGACTACATTCTGCCTTCGCTTGTGATGCCAGTACACATGGGGGTAAATATGGTTGCTATAAAGTCAACCATAAGTAGAGAAACACACATGCAATGGTTTTGTAATGATGCCACTAAACAGTGAAATACTGCTGTCGAACAGGACACTTCTACAAGACAACCGATCATTTCTAGCAATTGTGATGGTATCCTCTAATGTCAGGTTTCCCTTCATCTTTGCAACGGTCAGGATAAACTAAAAAGACTCCAGCCAGTCTCCATTTAAATGATGGTGTTTTAGCCATTTCCATCTATCAGAGCTGAAACTTTTGGGATGCAGAATCTATGACTCATTTAGCTTATCTGCATCAGCAATAAATGCATATCACGTTTTACAGCAATAAAGCCCTATCACATAATGTCAACCTCATAAATCAAATGACTGTTTAAATTTAGGGTTGCATGGATTATCCATTCTGATGATGTGGCATGTGGAATCTAGACTTGGATCAATTAATTAGGACTTTGTGTTATACACCCAAATATTACGCATCTAAAATTGCTGGGTGATTGGTAGAATAATTGCCATAAATAAACTTTAAGTAAGGATTAATTGTTAGCAGACCATGCCATTATTGAAAATCAATGCAAACTCTTAAGTAGTAAAGTGAATAGAGGAAATGTGCATTCATTTTTTTAATAATTTACAAAGCATTGGGACGTTTAAGTAGTTTATGCACTTACTGAACCGAGACAGAGCTTTCCATATTTGTATTTATATTGTTGTCATATTTATATGTTTGGCCTTTTTCTGGTTATTTTGCTGTAATAGGGTAAGTCTTGAAATCCGTACAACAACAACAAAAAATCTGTCAGGAAATTAAAATTAAATAATTTAACTGAAATATGTTGTACTCGTTTAGTCAGTTTCACTATATTTAACGATTATTTGAGATACTGGGGAAATTACAAATGTTTCTCTTTCAACTGATAACCTCACGAATTCCCTCATTGCATTTAAAATACTTTCGTTCAATTCAGTGATCTCTGAAGGACAAAAGATGTAAGCACATTTTAAGCTGTAGCTAATCATGGGAAACACGGACGCTGCTAATAAACTTATCACTGAATGAAAGCATAACTTATTTTCAGTTCCTTACCTTTGCTGCCAGTTTGATTCCATCTGGGCTGGGTTTTTGAAGGAGACTGGTATTGGAGTACTGCTCTGCGCCCTCTCCTCTAGCCATCTCGTTCTTGAAGATTTACGTTTAAAGTCGTTTACACTTTACCTATGAATCCAGTTATTGAATGATATGAAACAAAAAAGGAAAAAAATAAACCCGTTCGATTAAAAACAACAACAACGACGTGTCTGTTCGCCTAAGCCGTTTTCTTCGGGATCAACCTGTGTTTCTACCGGTGCCCGCATCAGCCGGCTGTAGTAGTAATTGAAGACTTGGATGCTCCGCCCCTTTCGAGGAGTCATTCATCTAATACAAACCCCTCCTTCTTCAACCTCGTATGATTTTCACGCGCTGTCAGGGGCGGGGCGGGGACAAACACGCCGTAACACGCTGACGCATGACCGGGTGCACTGATTCTAATCAAAATCAAATAGCCTTCTGCATCATTATGTTTAATGTGTATTAAAATTATGCTCTCTTCCGACAAAAGAAAAGGCTGTGCAATGTGCTTTCCATTCAACAATACACTATAAGAAATAGCTGTGTTTGGGTCGACTGTCTACTAGTGGCATGCAGCATATATACCATGCTAGGTGGAGACTGTAGCTGTTTCTCAATACCAAGCACGCAAAGTTCGGACTTCGCAAGTTGGACTCGGGAGTGCGAGCTCCTGGGGACGGGGGGACACAAGTCCGGTAATTCTGCAAATGGAACAGCAGCGTACTTGAATTATAACTTGTTCAAGTTATATCAAATTCAATAAACTTGCCTTGAGCTTGATAACGTCAGTCAGCTCGCCTTGGCTACTCTGGCAATTTCTACATGTGTGTATACAATACGACGAAATATGATATCAAACATCACTGCCTCTTTCGTTTTCATTTAAACATATTAATAGCCACAAAAATGTAGTTCAGGGAACGTACATGCGTTACAGTGAAACGAAATATTATACCAAACAGCATTGCCTCTTTTCTGTTTCATTTAAAATATTAATAGGCTCACAAAAAATGTGGTTCATGCAACAGATCCACGCATTACAATAAAACGAAATGATATCAAGCACCACTGCCTTGCCGTTTTCTTCCAAATATAAAACACAACTCGTTTCGTTTTCATTTTAAAAATATAAAACATTAATATGTGGTTTAGGTAATATGTGCACATATACTGATTATCTTCACTGTATAGCCTATAATAAAAAAAGGAATATGACAAGCACAACTCTGCCTTTTTGGTTAAATGTCAGTTTTAATGAACAAAATAGCCATTATGAAAGAATAAGTATAAAGTATAAGAGACTTATGTAATAGGAAATAAAGACAAAAGCAAACAATTCAGTCAAATGTATTCAATTCAGCGTTTAATAAATAAGCATTTTAAAAATATAAAACATTAATATGTGGTTTAGGTAATATGTGCACATATACTGATTATCTTCACTGTATAGCCTATAATAAAAAAAGGAATATGACAAGCACAACTCTGCCTTTTTGGTTAAATGTCAGTTTTAATGAACA